TCACCCTTTAAAAATCCCAAATCAGAATCTTAAATCCAGCTTCAAACAAAATGATTGTTCAGATTAACTTGTCTTCTTTATGGCTTTTATTCGGTCCTTTACTGCATTTGTTTTGGGAAAATATGAGGAAAAAATAAATACAGAAAAAAAATATATTTTTTAAAATCGCAAAATAATTATAGGGTGGCTAATGCCAAAGAAAGGGTGGCTGAAGCCACCCTTAAATAGGTCTAACGACGCTTATGCTGTATACTCATGCTGTTTACTCATGCGCTCTTTGTTATCTGAGAACCGAGCCAGAACCGCGCCGAGCCCTACTGATTAGTTTAGCGTGGTTCGGTTGTGGCTAGCATGGTGCAGTTCAGTTTTATTTACACCTAGCAGTTATCTCGGTTACCGTGCTCGGACAGATCTCAGCACAGTTGCAAAAGGGTAGAGTAAAGGGCTATAGCAATATCTAATATTAGGGAGAGCAATGTATAACTACTGATCCATTGTTGTAAACACTAGTAATGTGTCGAAAAAAACAAAAACATGTTTACATCTTATTCAGTTAAGTTTCAAAGTTTCAGGAAATCTCTTGAGGAGTTGATCATCCTCTTTGGGCAGCTGCTCTATAACTTGACGGACTCCTCTCTCTAAGGCATGGTAGTAACGCTTCAACTCGTCCAGTTCAGTCTGCAACCGCCTCTCTATCTTCTCATGGTCCTCTTTAGCTTCTTTTAAACGCTGCTCGTATTTTGCCTTTACAGCTGCTATTGCCTGCTCAAGTTTTTCCTCATATAAACGTTTGAGTTCAGCCTCCCTCTCATCCAGCATTGTCACTGCCTTCTCATATGTATCATTAGAATAAAACTGACCTCCTGTATCATTCACCATCTCCTCAACCTTCTCTAGCAGACTAAGAACTTGTCCTCGGTCATTAGCTCTGAGGTTATTGAACACATGGTATCGATTTCCAGCCTTCTCTAAGATCTCCTTCAAATGTGGTCCAGCATCCTTTAACATCTCATCAAATTCAGACTCAATCGCATCCCCATGAGTGAAGAGGATCATGGTGTACTTCCAGACTTCTTTTCCAAAGATGTTCTCCACCTTCAGCACAGCGTCTCTCTCCTCTGCTGTCAATGGTCCAACTTTGATTACCAGTAGAATGGCATGGGGGCCCGGGGTCGACATGTTGATGCATTTGGAGATTTCTCTCTTCACTGTTTCCTCAGGCTGATAGGTGTCAAAGAGGCCAGGAGTGTCAACGACTGAAACCATCCAGTTGAACACTTCCTCTCGTTGTTTGGAGCATTCAGAGGTCTCTAAGGGATACAAGTATAGATGAATATATATATATATATATATATATATATTAATTTTTTTTATAAAGATACAGTGAGATGTACAAAACAAACATGTAAGGTCAGCACAAAATAGTGTCAATGTTAGTTCTCTGCAACTGATTTGTTCAAAACTAACAAATGTATTACTGTTAATTCATACATTGTTCACTAACCAAAAGCTTGGAAAGTTTTAATGTGTCTTTGCATTCCAGTTTTACCTGAGGAGTGTGTGGTGACTGCTCTAAAGGCGTTCCTTCCTAAAATAGTGTTTCCAGTGGAGCTTTTTCCGGCACCGGTCCTCCCAACAAGCACCAGCCTTAAGTCGGACACTGCAACATAAACACTGAGATGAGGAGGTAGACAATCAACACTAGCCAGATAAGTTACAATTCTATCATTTAAATCAGAATACCAAAGTATCTAAAACTTTGCATTTATCTACCGACTTCAATCATGTAGATTAGTGCTAACATAAAACGATTGTTTATATACCCACTAGACACCTTATCAGGTACACCTGTCTTAATCATACGTTAACAGAAATTGTAATTAAACTGCAAGAGTTCCTTTTACTGATGTTTAATGCTCTTAAACACCAGTAAAAGGAACTCTTGTCTTCGCGTTGTAACTGAGGCCGGCATAGTAGAACACTTTGGCCTGCTTGTGACTAAGGCTGGGTTTATTCTTCTGTTTATTCTTCTGACTAAAGACAACAGAGTGTCTTTAGTCAGATGCTTCAGACCGCTAAAGAAGATCGTTCCTGCCTAAAGCTATCAATACATACAACAACTAGTTAAAAAAAACCATGTTAGTTATTGTAACATTTATTTTTCATTTGGGATTAATTAAGTATTTTTGAATTGAATTGACAAAAACATAAAAAAGAATAGGATAGCTTGCTACCTTTAGAAGGGCAAGAATTAAAACTGTTTGATCGCTAAACCGTCAATCATATCATGCAGTTTCTTATATTGGACTGGCATTATTAGCTAATCAATATTTGTCACAATAATAAGTAAAAACTAAAATCGTTTGGAAATACATTTATTGTCACATAGTTGAGAAAGCTAAATGTGACAGTGTCAAAAAAAAGTAGACTAAATTTATACTAAAATAACCATAATATGTGAGAAAACGGTTTATTTTATCAAAGAAAAAAATCCCTGCATCTCTTAATTGAAAGTAATTTGGAAAAATGTAGATAAGATATTGCTTGTCTCTTAGCCTAAACACGATGGACATCTTTTAGGAGCCGGACCTAATGGCGGTTCATCTATGCTGCGTCTTCTGACCCATCCTTTTGGTGCTCCTACGATGAGACAAGAAATTAGATATGTCACATATAATACACACCAGAGCAACTCATACATTGGTATAGATTATTACATTATAGCAATATACAACAATAAACTGATACAGTCAGGGACGAGAGGGAAATAAATAAGGCAATTATTCAAGCCAGTAACCACCAAAGAGTGAAAATAGGCTGACCATTTCTATAGCACCAAAAAGGAGGACATTATGTGGCATATCAATAAATTACTAAGGTGTACATAACAATCTAATATACTCTCATTTATAGAACAATTTTGAGGGGCTTAAAGGGGATGCTTGTGTAGATTAATAGGATTAAAAACAAAAAGTCAAAATTTGTTGGTTTACAGTATTTGTATTTATTCAATACATTGTGGTGTGCAAAGAGGAACCATGGAGTTTGAAAGCTTAAAGTGTAGAATGCCAGAAAGAATAACATGTGTTGACTTAAATATTAAAAAAAATAATAATTTAATAGGTAACTTACACAAAAAAAGCAAAACCTTTTACGAAACTATAGAAATTGTAAAAAGAAGTATAGCTTTCTGAAAGTGGTTCAGGATGGTTCACCCACTGAGCTTTATCTATTCACTGCATTGCTGATAGCACGTTGGTAGTACAGGGTGGAGTGAAGTTACCTGCTGCCATATTGGTACTCCCTATTTAGACCCTTTGCAATGTCAACGACATTAGCAGGAAAGCAGAGTTCTGGGCTATCAGCAATCCAGTAAATAAATAGAAATCAGTTGGTATACTTTGCACAGCTCTGCAGCAGTCATTTTGGCATCCAGTGGTGACGAAACTTCATGAAAAAAAAGGCCTCATTGAAGAGTTACATGCCGCACGTTTATTACTTTTATGTTTATCTGTTTTGTTTGCCGCTCAATTGCAGCTTTACCTCGACTACTTACGTCCAAATTGCATCCACAAAATGTGCAGAAGCTATGGAATGATTCAGAACTACTTTTGGTCATAAATTCACAGTCTTTTTTTCAGTCAGAGTTAAACGAGGTCTTGCGTTTTGGCATGATGCTAACTTTCTTTCAATATACTTTGACTGCACTCTAATCCTTGTCTACTTTTTTGACCAATGAGAAGCAGATATTTATCCCCCCCCCCTACCTTTTTTTTTTGGAGACCATAACACATGTTTGCTACGTACTTCGTTGAATAAAGATTAACAGCCAGTACCTGTCACCTACTGTATAACACGCTGACACTGTCGCTGTGGTCGAGACTCCTACATCCTACATAACCAATCCACTATACTCCAAAGCACATTGCGAATTCCTTGATGTTTGAGGACAGCATGTGCTATATTATTATTTAATTAAGAGGAGAAACAAATGTGTTAACAAACGCTTAATTTACTATGACATCATTAAAACTCACTATCAGCATTAATCACACACATTTCTGCCCAAAAGTTTTCTTTTTGTTGTGGATCTTTGCAATAGGGATAATTAGGNGTTGCAATGTCAACGACATTAGCAGGACAGCAGAGTTTCGGGCTATCAGCAATCCAGTAAATAAATAGAAATCAGTGGGTAAACTTTGCACAGCTCTGCAGCAGTTATTTTGGCATCCAGTGGTGACGAAACTTCATGAAAAAAATGCCTCATTGAAGAGTTACATGCCGCACCTTTATTACTTTTATGGTAATTCGTTTTTTCTATGCCGTTCAATTGCAGCTTCACCTCGACTGCCTACGTCCAAATTGCATCCAAAAAATGTGCAGAAGCTATGGAATGATGTACAACTACTTTTGGTTATAAATTCACAGTCTTTTTTCCATTCAGAGTTAAATGAGGTCTTGTGTTTTGGCATGATACCAACTTTCTTTCAATATACTTTGACAGCACTCTAATCCTTGTCTACTTTTTTGACCAATGAGAAGCAGATATTTATCCCCCCCCTACCTTTTTTTTTTTTTGGAGACCATAACACATGTTTGCTACGTACTTCGTTGAATAAAGATTAGCAGCCAGTACCTGTCACCTACTGTATAACACGCTGACACTGTTGCTGTGGTCGAGACTTCTACATCCTACATAACCGATCCACTATACTCCAAAGCACATTGTGAATTCCTTGACGTTTGAGGATAGCATGTTCTATATTATTATTTAATTAAGAGGAGAAACAAATGTGTTAACGAACGCTTAATTTACTATGACATCATTAAAACTCACTATCAGCATTAATCACACACATTTCTGCCCAAAAGTTTTCTTTTTGTTGTGGATCTTTGCAATGGGGATAATTAGGGTCATACAAAATTGGTTTGCTCTCCACCTCCAAACTCAGCATCTCTTCATCCATGCCTGTGTTAGGTTTATTCTTTTATAAATCATGTACATTGTTACTTTGTTAGCCAGATAGAGATAATAGATAGCCTTCCTTCACATTGTGGATGTCAATTTGTGTAAATAGGTCATCTAAATAGGACAGCCTTCTTGTCTTTTAAAGATACACAGGATATGGGCACATCTTGGAGCTGGACTGATAGAGGAGATGTATCTGTAATCTTGGGCATAGAGGCAAGATGCATACAGGTCAGGGCATGGATGGCGTGTGAGTTTCTGATACAGACAGCTAAACATCCACATGATCCAACACATAGACTCATGAGCTATAAAAAGGAGAAGACGACCTTGTTTGGGGCTCAATCTTTGCAGGACGCTTGCGGACGTGATTTTTGAGACCACAGCTGTGCAAGCTCCAAGCATTTTTCTCTGTCCTGTAACGACCTGATCTGGAATAAACTGTTACTTTTTTACTCCTGTTTTTATAGTCCTTTTTTTATGGTTTTACCCACATCACACATATCTTTTGTCTTTTTAACAGAAAAAAATAAATCACATTCTTCTTTCA